ACAAAATGTTATTTTCTTCACGTTTAGTATGGAACAACCTTTAGGGATTAAACTGAAGTACAACCCAGGGTATCCAGCTATAAAGCTGACCATAGGCTGAGTGAAGGGTCAGCTAAGATGCATCAGATGGACAGCATGGTAGAGCCATGAGCCGCACTAATAGGCTCTCTCTGCCATCCAGTTAATGGGCTTTTAATAGCGTTTAAAAACGGCTGATCTGATTCCAGTGTTTGTTCCGAGCCACCAAATGGGAGAAAACAAGAAAATGCAGGTAGCAGAAAGAGGCCCCCAGACAAGGCTAATCAAACACACTGGATAATAGCAAAGCCTCCTACAGTTCTCTTGACACTTGTCTGAAACTCAACAGACAGCTTAAATCAAAGACACTGTTAAAGGAAATACAGCAAAATAAAAGTTTAATATTAATTATGTTCATAATATACCATGATTATTACATAATGAATCACAAGGGATCTTGACATATTAATGTCATTGCATATATTGTATACATTGTCAATGTATGTCAAGGTCTACAAAAACAGACTGGAGATCTTTCATTAAATTAACTTAATTGAGCAAGAGGGGATAGTCTAATCTTGTAAAATTGCTGATTCTCCTCTGTCAGCTTCATTGGGTGAGTAGATATTTCTGCACTGGCAACACTAATTGTAAGCCACCTAAACCAGCTTTCTGTAATAAACTTGAAAAAAAAAATGATGTGGTTCGACTGTTGTTAATTTGCTTTGTGTTACTGAAAAAATTGCTTGAAAATTATGTTTCACATAAATCTCAACCTTCAGACAGATATACAGACAGACAGACAGACAGCCCACTATTGATTTATTTAATTTTCAGTCAAAACGACTGTTATTATTTTTCAGGAGATATTTCTGGGGAGATTAGATATGCATAAGGAAGAGAAAAAAAAACAAATGAAAATAAGTGAAAAAAGCATATAGAGAAAAAGGGACATCTAACAACCATGGCAGACCTGGCAGACCACCAAAACTTTCCCCATCAGATAAAGCTTTGATTTTTCAGCACTTAAAGCTTTCATCTTTCAGAGCAAATCAAGCTCCACTCTTGCTTCAGTTCTGAGAAAAAAAATGCTGATGTTCCTGTCCATCCTTCCACTGCGACAATACTACTCAATGCTATAAGTCTGAAAAGACATGTAGCTGCCAAGTAGCTGGTACTAAGAAAAGGAAATTTGCAAATTAAACAAAGACCCTGCTGATGTTCTCAGAGCAATGAACTAACTATTTCAGAATCCAGTCCTCAACATCACTGAATGTGCTAAGGAATTTGGGAATAATTGAATCATGCGAAGCAGAAAATTCAACAACACAAACCTCTTTACATCTTTGGAGGTGTGAAGAAATACCCCTGCAGATTTCTTAGAAAAACTAAAAGCAAGCCTCCTGAAAAAAATGGATGCTGTAACAAAGGGTGGAGACAGTAAATATTGAATAATTTGATATTAAATGTTGTTGCTGAGTCACAGACAGACCGATAGATATAGATCATTCCCTCTGACCATTTGTGATCTGATCACTCAAGATGCATATTAATATCAGGTGTAAATAGGGCTTCTCTCTCTCTCTGTCTGTCTCTCTCTCTCTCTCTACCTTGTAAGGAGGTCTTTCAGTGTGTAAATGGCTTTTCTATTGATCTGGTGCTCATGACAACCATGGCTGGGGTGTGTGTCACTTTTTAACTGTCTGGGCTCAAACTCCACAGTTTATTTCTCCTTTAAAGGTGTATCAGCCAGGCGAAAAAGGTTTGAAAAAGAGCCTTTTTCTCTTGCACGGAACATTTTTCTCTTTGTCCTTAAATTTGACGTTATATCATCGTGTTTCTTGCACCGTCTCTTTGTTTTTTTAGAGCGGCCAACAGGAGCTACCTGCAGACACGGCATAATCCTCATTCAAAACAGCAAGAGAATAACAACTATTCTTGCATTACACAAAAGATTTAATTAAGTTTTTTTCACCAGCACTATAGTCTGTGCCTCAGAGCTGCAGGCATGGACACAGACTTTGTGTTAAACTGCAGGGTTGGGGTGGGGGTGCAAAGAAAAAGATTTCTGAGACATACTTTATTTTAGGTGTCCATTATAATGCCCATGTAATGCCATTATCAAGCCAATAGCGGCTAATTAACTGGCTGCTCATTAGTTACCTTATTAACCCATTAATGTCCATTTATCCAAATATTCTGTGTTTGCACAAATCAATAAAACTGTATTGTTTAAAATTGTATTGTATTGTAAAATTGTATTGCAAAAACATAAATTACATAGTTTTTAATTTCTCATCCAATTTATATTCTATATGGCAAAAATATGGTTAATTACTGAGTTCAGGTGTTTCAGCCACACCCACTGCTGAAGGATGTACAAAATAGAGCACATAGCCATACAAATTCCACAGATAAACATTGGCAGTAAAATAGGTCATACCGAAGTGCTCAGTGACTTTACATGGCACTGCCATAGGATGCTACCTTTGTCATGAGTCAGTTCATGAAATGTAAGTAATCTTAATTCTACAGCACACAGAGACATTTTAGACAATTACGTTTCCAACTTGGTGGCAACAGTTTGGGGAAGGCTATTTTCCTTTCCAGCATGACAGTGCCCGTAAAGACAATGCTTAATGAGCTTGGTCTGCACAGAGCCCTGACCTCAACCCCACTGAACACCTTTGGGATGAACTGGAACATGAACTGCGAGTTAGGTTGTCTCGTCCAACATCCGTGCCTGACCTCACAAAAGCTCTTTTCACTGAATGCGCACTAATTCCTCTAGCTTTGTGTTAGGATGAAGGGGGGATTCTCTCTCCAACTTTAGCTTGAGGAAGGTGAATGAGCCATTACACCCCTTCTTTTTTGTTCAAAGGCTTATGCTTAATTGCTTGAAATTTGTTTCTAAGACAAATATAAGCATTGGAATTTATATCCATACACCAAAACATTTTAAATGTAAACAGAATTTTATTAATCCTCCACCAAGAAGTTTGTTTCTCAGTGTGTGTGGTGTGAGCATATGTGTATCTTCTTCTGTCCTGTTGGAAAAGCATCCCGGGGGGCTTTTTGTGAAGACACTTGAGGGAATGCCAAGAGTGTGCAAAACTGCATCAAGATAAAGTGGGGCTACTGTGAAGAATTTAAAAAGGAAGATTTGGTTTTTAGTCACTGCATCTTTCCATATGTTAGTTTTAAACTAGTAAAAATAAGGAAAAGCCCTTCATGAATAGATATGCCCAAATGCTTGGCTGCTACTGTGTTATCCAATTACACTTCTGCAGGTCTGGGGCTCATGAGAGCAGCACAGCACCCTCATCTGTCCTCTCACAGACCTACAACATCACTTCCACTTTCACTACAGCACAATCTTTCCTAATTGTTGTCCAAGAGCCCACGTTTCCTGCATATTTTAGTGTTTTCTTGCTGTAACATACACACTTAAGCTCAGCAAGGGCTTTTTCCTATAATAAAATCTTGAGCGGGGCATCCAAAAAAACAGAGGGGCAGTCTGTCCACATAAAAAACTGATAAATTTTCTGTTCACACAATCTAAGTGATCCCAAACACATTCAATTTGATGTTGAAGTCTGGACTCTGGGGTGGTCAGTCCACTGTTTTGAGAACACCATTAGCTTAGTTTGCAATTTTGCTTCTTATTTGTCCACACATACTTGATTTTCTTTTCTCTCTCTTTTTACTTATTTTTCCTTTGACTTTCCCTTCCTCATCCAAGTGAATTACTCTACATTTAATCTCCTGAGAAGCTGAATAATGAATAACTTGTACTTAATGGCCATTCAGATTGAAAATTAAAAAAAAAATGAAAGGTGGTCTCTGGTTTTTGTACAGAACTGTATATGATTATTCAGCCCACTAATTAAACTTTAATTAAATAACTTTTAGACTATTTTATCTGCTATACCATACTGATACTGCATTTAAACTTGTTAGAACATTGCAAAATATGTAGGCAAAAATATCTTAATCTAAAAAATGCATTTACACTGAAGATAAGTTATGCAGCAGTTAAGTCTCAAGCTATTATCCGATTGATCCATAATTTGCTTATGTTTAATTTGATGCGCAGTCTTTACATTTCACAAAATTTACATTTGTATGCCCACCTGCAGTCAGGGCCAGTTGTAATGCCAGTGTCACCTTGAGAATAAACCAGAGCTTAATTTAAATGAAGCAGTTAAAAGTAGACAATATGAAATTAAAATACTAGTAGGCTAATAAAATAATCAATTCAATCAGCAACCTTCACTGGGGCGAAGCTGGTGGGGCATGGCCACCCCCTAATACTGAGCCTGGCTTGTTAATGTGCTAATCAGTTGGATCAGCAGGTAAAACTCCAGGTAAAACATCAGGACTGAAAAGGCTTTGCAGCAGAGCTACAAGGCTAATATAGCTAACAAGTAATGGAAAATAATCTGTGCCATGCCTAGACCATCAGACATTTGCCACAAACTGTTTCTCACAATGTATGACAATGTTAATTCTACAAATGGATGAAAGCATGTGACAAGACTAGAGCCCCATAAATCTATAAACATGGACAAAAGTATGTAGCATAGCTAATTGTTAATCACTGCTGATGGTGCACAGCTAATCAACTGGATCAGGTGTGTTTCAGCAAGGAAAACACCAAAATCAACTAAGGTTGGTTCTGAGGACAACTGAAAACCAATGCTTCAGTCCCATCTTCAGAGGTCAAGAGATTGTGTTGAAAGCTGTGAGAGAAAATGCACTGCTATCATTGTGGAGAGCTTTTAGCATGGCAGCTAAGCTTTAGCTTCACTTTGTTCTCTAAGCTGAAAGCAGGAAAAGCTTTCAGACGTTGCCATGAGACACAGCCATTACTGACTCCTCCCAACAACTCCAAGCTTTACAACCTCCTCCAACCGCACCTCCATAACAAAAACAAACAAATAAACAAATAAAGCAAAAATAATGTGCAAAAAGCTCCTTACCGAAAACATCGTCCTGTGACTCTGTTTCTGTCATGGTTCGTGTGGCTGAGTCTGACAAAGCCTGAAGAAGAAGAGAGAAACAAAAGAAAAACACAAATCAATTCAAAAGTCATGTTTTTCCAAAAAGGGAAGTTCTGTTAGCAACAAAAACATTCAGGTTTAAACAACAAGACAACAAAATTCATGTTCAACAATGATAAACCACACATAATATACACAAATGCACTTACATACTAGATATCCAAAAAATATGTTTGTATAGGTTGGTTCTAGATCAATATCCAAAAATAGGTTGGTATAGGTTGGTTATCTGCCATTAAAATATTACAGGTAGTTTTTTCTTTGTGATTTTTTTATTTTTCATTTAAGGAAATGACAAACAATGTCCCCTTTTCATCCCACACCCACATGGAACAATTCAACAGAAACAAAGAATACATACAGCATAGGGCACTTAAAACGTGGCTTATATCAGTCACAAAATAAACACATTTAATTGTTATGAGTTCCCCCCTCTTGGAAACCTTCAGACAGACCAATCTATCTAGGACTGGTTCTCAGTTCCTACCGAACCCTCATCGTCATCACTGTTACTAACTGTGTGTCTCCATATTTATATACCTTTATTTGTTTTTAGTCTTTGTGAGGTCTTGACATGGTTTTCTGAGCATTTCTAAAACAGTCTGAGTTCCTTAGTTTTCCTAGTTGTGTTTCTTATATCCCAATGTCTGTTTTTTTATTTTTTTCCCTGTCTTTTGGCATTGATGCCTGTTCTTGTCTTCATTATTTTCATTATGTCTTGGATTACTTTGCCTGCTTATGTTTTGACCCCTGCCTGTCCAAGTTGTCCATGATTTTCAGTCCCTGCTGCAGTAACAGCCTCTACTCTTCTGGGAAGGTTTTACCCTAGATGTTGGAACATTGCTGTAAGGATTTGATTGCATTCGACCTCAAGAATATTAGTGAGGTCAGGTACTGATGCTGCCCCATTCTACTGATCAGTGCTTTTCTATGGAAATTATACACATTTGAACCCCTGTGTCAGCAAATGGGTGCACCTTAAACTAGCTGAATTCACTATTTAGAGGTGGTGTCTAGATACTTTTGGATATAGTGTAGTTCCAGATAGAAGATGTCCAGTAGTGCATAAAGCCAGTGACTTGAGTGGTAACCAAAGCAAAATGATATCTGTTTTTTTGCCGCTGTGCTGTCTTACATTATGTGCATAATACAAATAATATTCATAATATGCATCCTGAACATCCCATGTGGCCAAGCAGAGAACTTAAATTTATTAACTACTTTACCCTAGCTGTCAGATGTGCTCTTTGGGGGATTTTCATATGAATAAAGAATGGTAATGATGAGGGTTATGCAAAGTCCCTAATGCATCATTCCATGCTGTTTTCCAGTCTACCTGCCTTCCCCTCTGTTCCTAACTCAATCCCATTCCATTTGACCAGAAATATTTACAGAAACATGTGACAAAGTTGGCATAGCTAATACTTTTGGGTGCCTCTCTGATCAAGCTAATTATTTGGTGGCCTTTTAGATATGGACCTCATGCAGCGTTGTATGATTTCAATGCATTTCTAAAAAAAAAAAAAGGATATTCCCTAATGTGCAGCTTGCTCTTCAAAAGACAGCAGAGAATTCCTGCTTCTGATTTCTTTAAGAACCGGTACGCTTTTTTTCTACCCATGAGTTTTGTATAAAGTTTGTTGTCTGTTAGAAGATTGCTACTAAGCTAGGTTGGAGATGCTTTAAGGCATTTCATTTTTACCCTCGTACATCTCCCTTCTGTTTTAAAGGTTTGATACACATGCAGGTTATTCTTATGGCAAATACAGAAATCCAACTTAAAATGACTAAAATTTGTCTTGAGAAAACTTAATATCTGTCTTGTTGCGGTAATGAGAACTAGGGAAAAAAAAAGAAAATTCCACAAATCTGTTTCTGTACCCTATAGAGCTCCAAATGATCTACTAAATTAAGTGAACATTTTTCATCTGCATGATGAGTAGGACACTTAAATATTTATGGCCAAGTTTTAAATCTAATCAGAGCTTCCATGTCTTGGCATATTTTCCACCAAGGTAAATTTGAGCTTGGGTTGAATCATTATTTAAGGGACTGTGTTTGATATATTACCTTTTCATTACAACCCTTAGAATTGCAGTTATAACTAGTAATAAACAACAGCGATATGACATGGTGTAATAATATACTGCGCCCATAATTCAATTTGATTTACAATACTGGATTGACAATTTGGAATTTTCATAATATTTTGAACAAAATTTGAATGAAGAAAAATGATGGCTATAATCATGCAGTTGCAGCTGCATTCAAGGTATAACAAATGGATTGTCAATTCTATGTCTTCACGATGCACTGTCACATCTCCATGATGCACACCTCACAGCTTTCCACTGCAGTATCAGTGTCACAACTCGTTGTTACATACTTTGTGCTAACAAAAGCCTGTTGTAATTATGTTGATTGCTCACTCATAGCTCATTGAAACAACCAGAGAACCAGAGTCTAATCAGAGGAATAGACAAAGTAATACTCCTAATAACTGTACAGGACCTGGTAGACCATCCAAACCGTCACCATCAGAAAAAGGTAGAAAATGGAACCAAACTGTATGACTGAACTTGGGAAGTGTGGAAAAATATCTGTACAGATTTCTTTAAAAAAACTGAAAGCAAGTCTCCCTAAAGATGAGCTGTTGAGGTTTCTGTGTAATTTTCTGTTAATTGTATGTTTGTACTTACCTTGTACCTAATGGCAGTTTTGACAGCAAATTTAATAAATGAAGCGTGTTCTCTGACTTTTGAATGGTAATCACGTAAACATACTGAAAAAAGTCTGAAGTGCAGATCTGTGAATACAGAATGTAATGTTTTAAATGCAATTCATTGTGCAAGTATGTGATTAATTATGTAATTAACTTTATGTATAGTAAAGTGTTGTATAGCTAAATAACAATAATAACTAAATTAAATGATAGTTAAATGATTTATTTGCCCCCCCCCCTCTCTGTGTGTTTGAGTGTGTGTGTGTGTGTGTTGAGCTCTGTAGTGAGGATGTACCAGTAAAAGTTTTGTGGTGAATCAGCAAAGGGATAAATGGAGCTTAGTTCAATTTTCAGGGACAGAATTCATTGGCTTTATCCATATTTGTAGTGGATGCCTTTATTTATTTTTTATATCTCTCTCTTTTCCTGTCTTCTTGTATCTCACTCTCTTTCTCACTCCCCCCCCTCTGTCTCTCAGTCTATCTCTCCTTTTCTCTCACTCTCTCTTTCACTCTCTTTCTCTGTCTCTCAGAAGGCACTCCGCAACAAAACACTCTTATAACTTCAGCATAAATAGGTGGAGCTAAACTGCCATATATACGGCAGATACATGAAATAAATGCATTGACCTCACAAGAACAATGACTTCAAAATGGGTCGCTTTTGCAACTTGGCTTTGATTTGGACTGTACGGACTGGGGAGTTTGAAACTTTAACAATGTTTAGAGACTACATCAAACTCTAGATTCAAAAAGGGAGGAAAACGTTGGCTTCCATGATATGGGCCATATAAATAAGAAAGGTTTTTCTATTAATTTCTATCCCTCTAATATTTGCTAACATGATTGTTATGACTCATTATTTTACTAAGATGTTTAGTTGTTTATTTCTACAGCCACTGACCTATTGACCTCAAGCATATGAAGGAGTTCTTACAGATGGAATTTGTGTACGTGTTGTGCAACGTCATGTTCTTGTTATTGTTGCTTTAACCTTATATATCCATCCATATATATTTTATACCACATATATAATTGTAAAGATCTATTTTCACTCATAAAGCTCACCATACTGATATAGCACATACACATAACATTAACCAAGGTACTTGTATAAGGGGGTATGATAAGATCCCCTTGAGTCTACTTGCATCCTCTTTCTAATTAAGCAGTACAACAGAGGCTCTGGGCCAGAAGTATGTAACACAAAATGTGTCTACATGCGATTGCAATATGCGGCCACAGCTTGCCTAATGCTCTTAGGACTGCAGCTTATCACATCTTTTGACACCCTATCGCAAATTCATGACTGGTTTCAAAAAGCAGAGGAAAATCAACACAAAATCAGCCATCACAAGTTGCTCAAGCTTTACATATTCCACTTAATCTCCTAATCAGACACATGTATCATCTCCACCTACTTCTTTGTACAGTCTTCCTTTGTTTTGTGTGGTCCTCCCTCAAATGCTGACCATGCACACAGGCCATAAACTGAATGTTTACGTCTGTGTTGCTGTTTTACACACAACACGTTTGCAGAAGGCGTCTGAATTTTGCCTGAAACTGCCGCAAAAGGCTTTGTCTGTTGACCACTCAGTGTTTCCTACAGGCTGAAATACTGTCCTAATATCATACTGAACAACATGTCTTATTTAAGCTGTATTTACCAGGCAAGGCCCACAGCTTGTTTATCTTATCATTTCCACAAATCTGACCTGTCTGCTCAGGCAAGGTCAGAGAACACTGCATTTAACAGCCTGGCTAATACCAGCTTTCAGCTTTAATGTGACAGGTTGGCAAAACACTTTTCTTTATTACCTAATCTTTAACCACATCACATCAAGGGTTTATTAACAGAGTTATGAAATAACTGAAGTTGGGAAAAGAACTGTGCCTGAAGCTCCTCCAACTTCATTTCTAACTTTCTAAAAATTTCCAGCTCCACCTCCTGAATCCCACTAGACTCTCTAGAGATATACATAAGTCTGGCTTGTGAGACTAGCTGTCCATTTCAATACTGGTTTTAATCACCTGCTTGACGTTTTCATCTCTCCTCAGAAGAATCCACAACACCACCTTAAGGGCCATTCCGTTTTATTATCTTCAGTGAAATTCTTTACATGAGCTCTAGCTAGGGCAAAGGACTGAGTGAAAATAGGTGTTGAATTCTTTGTCAGGGGCCTTATTTAAAATGTATTTGAATTTCAAACTAAATTTGTTCCTAAGAAAAATTTTCAGCATTTGCGCACAAATAATTTA